GGATCGGGGACGGGTGTGCGCCGCTTCCCAGATGTTGCGGTGAGATTGCGCCCATTTGCTGCGCCCCCGATCTGTCCCTCTCCCGGGCCAAAATCTCCCATGTGACTAGGGACGATATTAAGCTTATCTTCTTCCCTCTGGAACTTCCCTTGGGGGTGGGGGGATTTCTGACTGGAGGTGTACCATATGGAAAAGATTTAAACCCACACACACACCAGAGCTCCATTCCATAACATACACATCCCTTTTTGGCAATTGAAGAACAACACCTGGGTCACTAGGGCAGAGTTATTACATTGCCCCAGTGGTACTTTTTCCTTCCAACATTGCCCCAGTGGTACTTTTTTTCTTCCAACATTGTTGGGTAACATTAACAGCCCTGGGCTACAGGGATCACCCTATGCATGCCACAGCTCCTTGTCTTCATACTAGTGTTAATCCAGTTCCCAGAGAACCAGCTTGGTGTAGTGGTTAAGAGTGGCAGACTGTAATCTGGAGAGCTGGGTTTGATTCCCCACTCCTCCACATGAAGCCAGCTAGGCGACCTTGGGTCAGTCACAGTTCTCTCAGAGTTCTCTCAGCCCCACCTATCTCACAGGGTGTCTGTTATGGGGAGAGGAGGGGAAGGAGATAGTAAGCCGCTCTGAGATTCCTTCAGGTAGTGAAGAACGGGGTATAAAACCAACTCTTCTTCTTTAGAGTGACGACACTAGCAGAGGTAGGAGCCACAATGTGAGGTTCTCTCACATAGCTTAAAGTTTCTCACATTATCCCAAAAAGAGGGAAGGAGCAGCCCCCGTGCCACTGGGGGGACACAACACAGAGCTCGAAGTCAGGTATAAAATTTCCAGCCATGTAGTTCAAGCAGCTTACATATTCCTGAACCACCCGGCTTGATAGCTGCCAAATTGGGTTGCAGTAGTTCCAAACAAGGTGGGCAGAGGGATTCTTATGAATTTTAGCAATGTCAATTAACCATGAGATCAGTGGCTCTAAACCAATACAGGGTAGTAGAGAAGGCTGCTGGAGTACAGCTGAAGAGACATGGGCTTAAATCTCTACTCAGCCTTTTAACTTAGTGTTTGACCTTGAGCCAGTCAGTGATTTTGCAGCCTAACCAACCTCACTGTACATGCGTATCACCCCAAGCTACTTGGAAGAATGGTGGATACAATTGTGATAAACAAGCAATAATAGATCAGCCCCTACGCCCTGATGACTTACGGGAGTTTAGATCCAGTGTGATCCCATCATATAGCAGGAAGATGGGCTTCATTTTCTTTGGGGTCCTTTTGGCAAAATATTTATTTAGAAAATGGTTATGTGATGTCCACTCAATAATAATGTTAAGAGGATTGTTTGTTTTTCTTTCAGAGTGTCATGCTGTGACTGCAATTTGCCTGGCAGGAGTCCCTTTTCCACACCAAACAGAAATTCAGCAGGTGAACCTTTCTCTAGCGTGCGATGCATGAATCTGGTGGTTTTCTGCCTGATGTGCGACCATTAAAAATCCAGTAGCCCTGCCAGTAAAAAAAAAAAGAGGTCTTTCCCCTTCCTTTGTAATAATCTTATAAATGTCTGGCTTTGTTGGCCTGATTCAGACATACAAAATTCTAATCACAATACTGCTGAGTTGACAAAGTTTACATTTTTATTAAAACAGTGATAAGTTACAAAGGAGAAAAAAATAGATTTATATGTACAGCATTTTCAAAGACAAGCCAAAATAGGGATCATCAGGTATGGGGAGGGAAGTCCTTTAGAGCAGCACGCACGCACACACAGAAAAAGGATGGGAACTTTTTGCCAGTGAGTGATGAAGGGAAACAGATACATTTGCACCAGCCAGGTGGTTGGACTTGCATGCCAAAGGAGGAATTCTTGTCTCCACCCTTTCCTTGTGGAATCAAAATGCTGGGGCACATCAAGTGATGCCATAGGAATAGGTGATCCGTGAGTCCCACCAGTCAATAGCATGGCCTCAGTTACTGGGTGCAACTCTTTAATTACAAGTGATCAATGCCTAAAGTGGAATAGATGATTTGTAGTTGAGGGCAAATTAGAAATTAAGATTTACTTGCCTTTGAACCTCTGCAAACCTGTTACTAAGGTCAACATTCCACCAACATTTGCCCCTTTCTTCAACCTGTATTAACTTTCTTTTCCAACTTTTGTACGGTAACCAAGAGCTGAGTATCTGATATGATTCCACAGGAGTACAGAATGGGGTAGTGGATGCAGAACTCAGCTTCCTGAGAATCTTAGCTTTTATTGTAAAAGACAAATTAAACATCTAGCCCTTAGGGGTATAAAGACATGCCTGAAAGTGTGTGGCTGATGTCTGCTGAAATTTCAGAAACTAGAGATAGCTGGGTAAGATTTCAGTGACTGAGGCAGGGCTTCAGTGTCTTTGCTTTTCTCTTGACTAGCAAACCTGAATATATTATGCAAAATACAAAAAGGCAGAATGAAGTATGCAAAATGAGATAAATTAAGCACATTTACTCATTTTGTGAAATTTAGAATGTTGGAGGGGGCATTGCATTTGGATCGCACACCACTGGGCAGATAGCCTTTGATCATGGGGAGCCAATTGGTTGACCGATGGGCAGGACAAGAGCCAACAGTCATGATCCATTTAATGCCCTATACAAATAAGTGTTTACAATTAATTAACTGAAGAAATCCAATATGATGGTTTATATCAGCTGGCACTGTCCCACTTAAGTGGAGCTATAACTGGTTTATACCAGCTAGGAAACTGGCCATAGAGTCTTTTGCTATGTTATGTTTAAGTTATTTGGACAATTACTGAACATAGCAATGTGAGTTATATGATTTTGGGATAACAGCTTCTCGAGAGTCCTCTTCAGTCATTCAAATGTTGATGTTCCAGCCTTGCATAGTATGCTACCCTCAGTCCTTCCAATGGGCATGATGGCCATTTTGTGTGAATAGGGCAACATCAGGCAGGGCTCTGTTTGTAGCAGGAACTCCTTTGCATATTAGGCGACACACCCCTAATGTAACCAATCCTCCAAGAGCTTACAGAGAGCTCTTCTTACAGGGGCTACTGTAAGCTCTTGGAGGATCGGCTACATTAGGGCTGTGTCGCCTAATATGTAGAAGGAGTTCCTGCTACAAAAAGGAGCCCAACATACATATTTTCCTGATTTAGTGCACACAAACATGTGTGTGTGTGTGTGTCTGTGTGTGTGTGTGTGTGTGTTAAGTGCCATCAAGTTGCTTTGGACTTATGGCGACTCTATGAATTAATGTCCTCCAAAATGTCCTATCATTGAGCCTTGCTTAGGTCTAGCAAACTGAGGGCCATGGCTTCCTTTACTGAGTCAATCCATATGCCCTCAAAAATCTGGATTTCCAGTTGTACATATCAATTCTGCAAAAAAAATCACACAAAATGATGACGACATGTATCAAGAAGATCATGTATCATGTGGTCTCCCCTTATGCATGGCTGGATCACCAATATCATGATGACAAAATGCCACCAGTGGAAGTGTCAGACATACAGTGACTTCAATTAGAAGTCATTAGGATGGGCATCTGTCTCAGCCTGAAGTTTCAGGGTATCCTCTTTCTGCTCATGTGGGCTTGTTCCATCTAGGAGTGCCTTTATGGTAATAGGGAACTTTTCCAGAGAACAAAATGTGGCAGAATTTACTGAGTGGAGTCACTAAAGGAACAGGAACAAAAATCATTGTAGACATCAGACCATAAGAGCAAAGCAATAAATTCAAACATGCTTTATTGGCATGACGGATATTACAGGTCCTGCCAAAATATATGAGAAGAACAGAGTTCCTGAGATATGACAGACAGCAAAACACGGTGGGTTGCCAAAACTTGGCAGAACATGTCACTCTCCTATAAGATGACCAGCTGACAGGTAGCCAGTGCTGGAGATTTTAGCCCAGGTATAGGCCAGGAATATTTATAAGTAGTCAGTGTTCAATTTTTTAAACTCGGAAAGTCACAAGAATGACCCAGACAGATCTGTGTGTTTGCAGTGCTAGTCCCTGTCTGCTAGAAGGGAACAGAAGATGAAAGTGAATCCAATGCTAGCAGTCTCTCAGGAGGAAGCATAATAACTCCAAATTCTGCATGATGTTGAGGGCTGATGCACAGTTTTAAAAACTTCCCATCCATCTCCTTATCCATCTATAAGACCTGGCTGGCTTCATATTAGTTACTGATTTATCGCCTGTCTTTCTTCCATCATGGTACTTCTCTTCATATTAGAATGTCTCATCATTTCTAGGTCCTACATGGCTTCCAGTTCTATACAATCAAACCCCTTTCCCAGTTCTGACCTTAAAAATGCAATGCATGAGAAACAGCAGCACAGTATATCCTCTAGTGTTGTCACTAAAGGTCTAGCAAGCTCCATCTACTACCACAATCAAGATGGGACAATTCACAAGATCACCAGTTCCTTCAGTATAGTACAAAGAACTGGAGGCGGGGGGGGGGATAACTTTTCTTTAAGTCACGGGAAAGAAGATGGTGTAAAGTTCTTCTCAGAGGACATTTATGGAGGGCAAAGGAAGACAATACTTTCTAGTGTGGGGCAGCAGTTGCTCAACAGAGGTAAAAGCATGAGACTGAGGTGGTGCTACCTACCATAAACATCTCCTTAGCCAGTGTCAGGTGTAATCTATGGAGAAGAACCAGTTCCCAGTCCGACCCCTGACTATCACTGCTCTTAACAGTTGTCCAGGTTGTTTTTTCTCCCATCCTCCCGATTTCCTACACATGGCTTTTCTCCTCACATATCGCTTAGTCTTTCCCCTTGTAGTCTCACTTCGGACTGAACCAGTGCTGATGGCATTATTGCAAAGAACATGAGGATCCCTAGAGGTTTCCCTTCTCTGCCCCCAACAAAGCCCATGCTCCTGTTTCAGTATGGGGAGAATTTTTGTCTCTCAGCCTTCTTTGTGGCATTGGCTGTGGAGATCTTGGGCGTGTAGGGGGCAAGGCTGCCATTGTGCCCCGTGGCTGAGGAAGGGGGCAGAGTCAAGAAGGGAATGGGTTTCAGGCCGATGAAGTTGGAGAGGGAGATAGCATAGGGGGCACCAAGCAAGGCTGGGGGAGGAGCAGCCACTGCTGTCAGCGTTGGGGCTGGTGAAGGAGTGAGGGGCTGGGAGAAGGTCATGCCGAGGTCAACGGGAGGCGTCTGGGAGGTAGATTTGGCCGTCTCTAAACTGAAGAACAAGAAGGGAGAGAGAATGAGATCTGTGCATGCACACACATTTATGTAAATGCAGACATGTATGGACATATACTTGGATGTATATGCACTGAAGTAGGCACGTACAAGCTTACACACAGAAACATAGAGTTGGGTTTATAGGTACAATTTGCGTAATGATTATACATATGCACACCATGTGGATATGTATTTACACTGTCATGCAAAAAGACATGTGCAAGAGAACAGGCACACAGAAAGACTGGAGCTGGTCGTCTATATAATTTTGGCATTCAGGTACTTTTCTCTCCCCAAAGCCCCTCCCCTTTTGGACCATCTGCTCTGAAGAGTTTTGGAGAACCTCTGCCATGTTGTACTGAGTGTGGTATACTCAGGGCATATTTAGATAGTCAAGGTTTAGTCGTGGGCAGGTTCTGAAGGGTCAAACCATGCACAATGCTGAGGACCTGCATTTGGATCCACAGACATTTAACTGAGCAGCCCACAGGCTGACATGCACCACGGCTGGCTTTTTTCCCCTCTACTGGGCTTCAAGTAGCATGGGCAGGGAGGTTCCAATCAGGGAAATGGCATTGGGGGAAGAGGTAGTAGCCCACCCTCCCGCCAACTGTACCTGCTTTCTGCTACTCAATATGGGAATGGGAATCTGAAAACAGATCCCCAACATCATGTGTGGATTGGTTCTACAACGTCTCAAAGGAACCCGTGTTTACACAATCATAGTTTTTCATGGCATTTGGGCCACACATGCCTCCTAGGTTTCTTGGGTCATTCGCTGTACTTCTCTGTGCAGAAATTTGAGCTGTACCTTCCAGAAAGAACATCCACGCTACTGTTTATCTGTTTACTAATCCCAGAAGGAAATAAAGGATTTTCAAATTCTGTTTCAGGAGCTTTATCCACACTTAGTTTAGCTCCTTGAACATGCAAACACTTCAACCACTGACCGGAGTTCCGGGGTTATTAGTTTCCCCCTCCTTTTAGTGGGGAGGGTTAAGATGCCCCGCTCCTCCTACAAGCCCCCTTTAAGGTCTATACAAAGACGTAATGTGCAGTTCTGCCTTTAGAAAGCCTTTCAGTGCATCCTTGAATTATCATCTGGCACTGTGCTTGCAGCTTTCTCCCTCTAATGGAAGTAATTGCGAAAAATGGATGACTCCAATTTGTCCAGGCTAAATAGGCACCATGCAAATACCAGCTTAAAGTAATCACGTATTTCTGACCATCTAACTATGATGATCTCTTAGGTTACATAAAACAGTTCCACATGCTTAATGCTACACAGAAATTCCTGCATATAATGAAGCGGTGTTTCTATGGCTTTCAGCTGCAAAGGAAATATGTGGCGCCAGCTCAGGATGAATTCTGCCCAGAACATTGTAGCTAACGGTATTAACGTGATGTGTGCTCATAAGAGCAACAAGGCTTGGAGGATTTCATCTGAGTCAAAGAAAGACAGTGTGAAAGGCTAGTAAAGGAGCAACAGAAACACTGCATGATTACCCTCCCACTATGAAGCAATAGGTAGAGTGTTTGCAAACAAACAATTCATCCAACATGGCAAGATATCCCCACTTGATTCTCACAGAATAGTCCATCTAAAAGCCCCATGGCTTGAGTATTAGCACAAAGGAGCTACCTTCCATAGGCCTGGACAAGTGCTGAGTTCCTCCCCTGCCCCCCAGCAGTCATAATGGCTCTTACCAGGCTGTGATGAGGTACTGAGCCAAAGTAATGCTGACTGGGGTGCCTGTGATGGTCACATGACGTTCAGCAGAGCCGTCAGTCTGATTCCCGATCTTGATGTGTGCTCCAGACATCTGCCGGATCTCACTGATCTTGCTGCCCTGGCGGCCAATTATGCAGCCTATGAGCTGGGAATGAGAAAGGAAACATAAACCTTTGGGAAAGAATGCCACTGGGCCCTTTGTGGCCTAGGAACTCAACACGGGCTAGCCACACATTCTTTCTTTGAAAAAGTTGTTCTTCATTTGGTGTTAATAGAAATACTTATAGAAACGCATCCTAAATGCAAAAAGCAGTCAAGTATTAAAAGTATTTTTAAGAAACAGGTGAATAACTCAACACAATGTAGTAGAAAACTGCCTGTTACATGAATTGTTATGCAAGGCCTAATTCTGAGCCAGGCCTTGTGAAGGTTGAACCAACGATCCTTATGTCTGAGTGAGGTACTAAACATAATACTCAACACAGCAGCAATAATATGGGATCAATCATGTCAGCATATGGGTACGTCCAGGAGTGGCACCTTGAACCACAGGCTAAACCCAAGAATTAGATACAGCAGGGAAAGCATCTTTGTTGTGAATTTGTCCCTGAGTCTTGGGCCGGTGGGTGAAAAAACATTAACTGGGTCATGCAGTTCCTGGTTTCCACCGCACTGTGGCAGGCAGGAACTGGGTTTTGTTAATATGGGCGGGGTATAAATCCAATCTCCTCCTCCCCCCTCCCTCCCCCAATAAAGACCTTGAGAACGTTTTTCAGTTTTCATCTGGAGCTGGGGAGCAGAATAAAGGTCAGTGCTGCTGTCTGCCCACTTGTTTCCTGCCTTCTGAGATTACACAACAGAGACTGCTGTGTGCCTGGCTGCATGTTGGCAGCTGGACTAACTGTGTGGGGGCACAAGAAACTCTAGCACATTCCTCTCTCTAGTGGTGTGGCATATTCACCCTTTCTGGGCTGTAGCTCATAGATGCACAGAGAGCAAAGAGTAGTTCACATGGTGCGGGGGAGAAAGTCTGAAGCCTTTTCTTCTCTCTGCTGATCCTCTGTTTCGGAGGACTACCCACTACAGCCCCCACCCCCTTTCTATTAGCCTTGTTTTCCCCATCATTTATTTGATATGAAAGGTTTTGTCTTTTTAATAATCTGCATGTTAAAAGGCCAGGAGAAGGGTCTGTATAAAAGTTAGCAATTTTAACAATGGGCTATGTGTGGCTCAGTTGTTGAGCTTCTGATTTGGGGGGGTTCTTCCTGCAGCCAGCCAGCTGGCTGGAGGGGGGGGGGGAAGCCCCGCCCCCAAGAGTGACCACCCAGCCCCCCCCTTGCAAGATTTAAAGGGCCCTCAACATCAAGCTGGGGACGTCCCCGCTCCCTCCAGTCACGTCCCCCAAAGTCCCCCGCTGGGGACTTGGAAGGACCTGGCAACACTACACAGAAAGCCCCAGGGTTCGACCCCTGCCACTACCAGTTAAAAAGAACAGGTAATAAGTATCATGTGGGAGGGAAGGCAACATGGTATAGCCCAATCTTGGAAGCTAAGCAGGGTCCGTACTTGGAAGGGAGACCACCAAGGAAGACTCTGAAGAGGAAGGCAATGGCAAACCACCTCTGCTTCTCACCTGCCTTGAAAGCCCCCTGCTGGGGTCCCCAGCAACTCGACAGCACTTTACGCATGCACACAGTAAGCCTCATGAAGGACCTCTTCCTAAGTCTCCTGGAGAGCCACTGCTTGTCAGGGTAAGCATTAGTGACCTTGATAGACCAATGGTTTGACTAAGCATAAGGAAGTTTCATATGATTTCATGCGAACCTTATTGTCAAATTATAATTATGTAAAGAACACACATCTCTCCTATTTGGATTGAAGACAGTGGGCCTTGAATCCGGAGTTTTTTGAGGATGAGTGAAGACAACTTGGGGTTTTGCTAAAGTTTGTCCCTCTCAAATCAAGACGTTACATCACACATATATGCCAGGACTCAGTGGTGTTAGCTCCTTTTACGAGGCAGATACTGGCCACTGAATAGGTGTCTACATCAAGAAGTTTAAAGATTTGAATTTTGTAGGAATGAAGCCACCCTCTAGTGATATTTGTGAATGTAAGGCAGTGGAACAGTATGGGCCTGTGGTGTGTAAGGATCTGACTTTCACCACAGAAAGCTTCCACACTAGTTTACATCAGAAAGTATCACACTGCAGTGTACACAGCTGCGACGTACCACTTAAAAAGCCCAACAAACCAACTTGGTCACTTGCACCAAAACTTGACTTACATCATTGGGAATCAGGAACTCCTGAGAGCTGCTCTGAGAATTTGTGTCCAATCCTGAAAAGCCAGAGAAGAAGAAAATACAGTATGACGGGCTCTTCTGTCCCCTCCTGCCTGGCGACTGCCTGAGTTAACCTTTTGAAATCCTGCCTTCCCAAAAGGAGGGGGACTAGGCTGATGGGCTCACAGGGCACAGCAGAAGCAAGATGTCCAGCCTCCAGAGACTTTTTTCCAAGCACAAAAGCATGGAAAGAGCAGGGAGGACTCTGGAGGGATTGGACAGATTCCCAGCTACTGAAAAACTATCAGCAGCTCCAAGAAGAGGCTTTTGTTTTATGTCATTTAGTGTAGGTCACGTTACACTGGACTAATTTTAGACAGTCCCTGTAGAATTCCAGACAGAGGGAGCCCATCCCCACCCTCCTCCAGCTGGGTGAGGAGATTCCCATTGGCTAATGCTGCTCTTCTAATGCTATAGGGAATAACCCTAGGGCCTTCCGGAGACAATCGATAAACATGCACTCATTACCTACTTTTTTTAGCACAGAGATGCAGCTTTATAAGAAACATCCACTTTTTAAAAAGTCTCTTTTCTGCAAGATAGTGTTCCATGTGAACCCGATATTTTATACAATGGATCACTGCTAAAAGAACTGTTGCTTGATGATGCATAAAGACGTTTGGGAGCCACTAACCCACCATCCAATATAGCCTTCTGCTAAATGAATCAATTCATTGTTTTCCCCTCTACTACATATCTTGTAATTATATAATTCTGAGTAATACTGAAAAAGGAATTTTGATGTCACTTTTTAAAAACCAGCATTTACCTCTTTATTCCTAGTATAACACCCTTCTTCAGCACTCCAAGCTACACATTTGCTACATCTTGGGCTTTTCCACATGCATTTTTTCCATTGGTTATAGCCGCATATTTTTCAGTTTATCCTGATTTCTGCACGCATTTTTTATGTCTTCAGTTTTCACTTTGAGGTTTGTTTGTTTTTTTGTTATTCCCTGGGGTTTTCCTGGTTCTTTTGAAAAAACTTTTACCCTAATCTTTTTTTCTGGAAACCGATTTTGAGTTGGCTTTTTCCTCATGCATAATATTTCTGTTGGTGTTCTTTGTCCTGTCCTCTCCCACCTACCTCCAGTCCATTTTTCAATGACTGAATTGTTGTCGTCATCAAACCACTCCCTCCCCTCATCCCCCCGCTCTGAAGACGAGTGGTTTCAGTTTTTATTTCCTTTATAAAAAGGTCCTAAAAGATCAATATATTAATGTAGTGTTGTAATGGTAATTTAAAGTAAAGGTAAAGGTTCCCTTGCTCGAAAGCCAGTCGAGTCTGACTCTAGGGTTGCAGTGCTCATCTCTGTTTCAAAGCCGAAGAGCCAGCGCTGTCCGAAGACGTTTCCATGGTCATGTGGCCGGCATGACTAAACACAAGGTGCACGGAACGCTGTTACCTTCCCACCGAAGTGGTCCCTATTTATCTACTTGCAATTTCGTGCTTTCGAACTGCTAGGTTGGCAGGAGCTGGAACGAGAGACGGGAGCTCACTCCGTCATGCGGCACACTCGTGTCTCAAACTGCTGAACTACTGACCTTCCACAGCCTGCAGCTCAGCGTCTTAACCACTTGAGCCACCGCAGTAAATGGTAATTTAAACAGGTTCTCAAATTACCAGCTTTCGTTTTTTAAACAAGTAATTCTGTAAGCCCTTTTGCTCACTGAGATACAAGGGAAAAGGCATATCTCTGCAAGGAAAGGGGCTAGAAACTTACTTTAAAAAATTGAAAGCAGGGAATTCGGAGAACCTGCTTAAACTGTTAATACAACATTACATCGATATTTTAGGGCTTTTTTTTTAAGTAAGGGGGAAGTGCTGGGACACCACTGATGACATCACCGATGACGACAGACCCTCCCTTGAAAGTGCTCATTATTTAAAGCATATGTGGAAGCAAATAAACTGACTCCCCATTTGTGAAAATGCATAGGGAGGGAACTGATTCCCATGCTTGTGGATTGGCTGCCAAGAAAATCAGGAAAGAGTCAAACATGAATCAAAGGTTATAATAGAAAAGCCTGACTTCTGGTGCTTTTATTTACAATAAGTGTAATTTTCCTTTAGTCATATACTTTCAAGTAGCAGTCTTCTGATGCCTGCTGTTTATGCTCTTCTTCCGAAGTCTGGATTTCCTATAGATCACTTTTCCCCTTCTCCTTGAATTCATTTGTGTACAATACTGTCCTCCAAAAAAGGCTTTTCAAGGTTCCCAAGCAATAGTTGTGTTCACATCTATTGTTAGATTGATTCTCAAGTAAGTCTTCAGTTCATCATTAACCTTAGAGATCATACATCTATCGGCCAACCACCAATTATCCAATCTTCCTTTTTTGCTTTGAATCAGATCAAAGTACCAAAGGGGTATGAATGGGCTTGTACATCAATTTCCCCTCTACTTAGATCCCTTTCAATAAGTGGAGGGTGGGGGGAAACCTTGAAAAGACTTCAAGAACATTGTTGGGCGTGGCAAAGTCCTTTCCTTTAGGATATAGAGCACTCTGCATTTCCAAATGTTCCCTTTGATGTCCCATAATTTTACCATTGAACATTCTTGAATTAATTTTTGTAAGGAATTTAGTAAGCACTGTTAACAAGTATTTGGTGCACAAACTGGTGTGGATCTTCTTCCTTTTGCATAAATACACACACATACACATTCAGATTCTTTTGTTGTTCTAATAATATAGAAAACAGCCACACCTTCTATCTTGGTGGTGTGTATGCCAGATTGCCCACTCCCAATTTAATCTTTTCTGGATATTTCTTATGTGCCTTTTAATACTTAATACTTTATAAAGGCAAATAGTAACAAAGCTAACAACCCCTCCCCCCCCGCACACACATATGATTTGGTATTTTATTTAGTTCTTTGGAGGCCCAGCACTCCCTTCTGCAACACTGGGGTGAACATCTATTCTGAACTCTTTTGTTTTTAATAACAGTGTGCCAGAATCAATATGGTTATCTCAAGCAGTGACTCCATCTTCCTCCTTACCACTTTGTAACTATTACTTGTCTCTTTTGAATGGAGACTTTTGGGACTACCAGCACATTTCCCCTGATCTCCTGGATATTAGCCCTGAGGTTGATTTCATTTTCCTGTTGGGATTCTGGTAGCTTAAGTGGGTTTATGGATCCTGACTGAGGGATTGTAGTAGGTTCCTCACCTGCCACTATAGACGGTGTTTGCCCCAAAGAAGAAAATGAGACAGGGTGCCCAGAAAGCTGCTGTAACTTCGTCACCTGCATAAGAGGAAGAAGTTAGCAAAATAAAAGGAAGCTCTGCTTCACCATCTCCCTGCTGAAGCTGATGAGTTACCTAAGCCTAGTTGGCAAGAGAAGCAAGAGCAAAGGAAACATTTAGCTTTGCCTACATTAGAAAGGAGCAAAAGACTGCTGTAGGTAACATTTGACAATGAGGCATGATCCTTCAGTATGGATCCAGCCATGTTTAGGATACCGAGGATAGCAAATACTGCATGCAAGGGAGCACAGAAGATACAGTAGCCTTCAGGATAGCTGGCACTGGAATGTATGACAGAAACTCAATAGCAACCATCAGCTATAGTCACCAACTGGCGGATTATCGGGGATGCCAGATCTGTACCTCCAAACACTTTTTATTTGGCCCGTCACGTGACTACACACACATGATCTTAGCCAAAAGGCCGAGAAGTGTGATTGGGAAAATTGGTAAATTTTACTTTTGAGAAAAAGAAGCAGTGAGATTGTGCACATATTTTTTAAAGAATGTATTGCATTGCTATATCATGTACATTCTGGAAAGAAAAAAGGATCACAGCAATCTGCCTGTTATGTGGAGGTTTCCAGGAAACATTCTTGAGCTCCCCCTGTACTCCTCTCATGCCAAATTGATGGCCTCATAACATCCAAGTGCATGTGATCCATACCTGTAGAACCCTTACTGCCAAGGAATGTCAGCTTTATTATAGACGCTGACCACACTGAAGGGATCCCCAGCCTACAGAACAAGTACTAGAGAATGGACTGGCCCCAAGAATACAGAAGCTAGCCACGATAAACGTAGTAAGTGAAATTTTCTGGTATTATTGCCCTTTATCATGAGCTTTGCCATGCTCTGTGCCCTTGATAACAGGAGGGACAGAATGAAAAGGCAGGACTGCAAGCCCAGAACAGAGAACAGGCACGAGAAATGGGTGGTGGGTGAAGGCCTGGAAGAGCTACTAGCAAAGGCCTAACTGAGTATGGAGCCACTTAGTAGTGTGAGTTCAACATGCAAATATTCATTTGGGCGGAAATATTGGACTTACTTCAGCTTGAGACAAACCAGTGTACTGTCCTTGCATGGAGAACCCCTGCAAGAGGGAAAAAAAAGATTTTAAATATGCATACCAAAGAATCTCCCAGGAAAGGGGAGAAAGGACCACCAAATCAGATAGAAGAAAGATGCTATAGAAATCCTATCTGCGTCTCCTTTATCAAGCCTATAATAACATCTAAGCAAACACCGTGGGTTTTTTTTTTTATTTACTACATTTTTATCACATCCTTCCTCTGTGGCATATATCAGCCTCCCCTCTTCCATTTTATCCTCACACCAACAACCCTGTAAGGTAGGTCAGGCTGAGAGAGTGTAACTGGCCCAAGATCACCCAGCAGACCACATGGAAGTGTGGGGATCTCAGCCTAGGTCTCCCAGATCCTAGTGCAACACTTTTACAGCTGTACCAGATTTTCTTCCATTTCTTTATTTGCTATATTTTGTTTGCTACACATTGGCTATACATTTGCTATGTGTTTGCTATAAAATGCATAGTATACACAAACGCATACAGATGTAATTTGATTTTATTCAGCCCCTTAGTACTGCATTGTTTTTGTACATGTGCATCAACTCATAACATCTTTGGCCATAGGGTACACAAGTTTTAATTTTTAACCCCTGTGAACTTCAGCTTGAGTAGCAATATTCATTCTGCCTGACTCTGCATGCATCATGGATGATGGGGTAGAATTTTGCAAGGACAGCAACTTTTAAGAAAGTTGGACAACCCCCCCCCAAGCTGATTACACCCAACCTCCCTCCACCAAGCACCTAGAGAAGCAGCCATACAGAGGATGCATATTCTCTAGCACAGACTCTCTGCAATAAACATGGATTCCATTTTTGCTCTATAAAGATTAACCGACTCAATTGCTTTTCTGCCTTTTTTGAGGAAGGATAGAAAGGCAAAGCATGAATGGGGACAAAAGAGTGATGCCTGTGGTTCAGGTACGTTCTAGCTTGGATTGGTACTTGATGCACAAAGTTTTGGGGGAAGGCCAGAACCAAAGGCTGTGGGTTCCCTCCCCTTTTAACCTGAACAGAAAATTATCTCCTGAGGTTTATGTGTCCCTTACCTGATTGGCTGAGAGGAGAACTGGTGCCAAGGAAAGGCCGGGATGATAGGGAATAGTGGCTCCTTTGGGTGGTGACTGGAGGAAATCAAAGGAGGAATCAGTGTGCTTTTTAAGAAAGACCATCCATCTCAATACCCATTTTTAATTCATTAATTCTCCCCTCATACAACCTTGTGAGTTAAGGTATGCTGACAGAAAGGAACTGGCCCAAGGTCACCCCATTAAGTTTCATGGCAGCTGGGGATTTGAGCCCAGGTTTCCACAGTTCTAATCTGGCACTCTAACTGCTATACAGCCCTGGAGTCAATTGTACTCACTATATCCTAAATATTTTTAGCACTCATAGGATATGATAAATACTTCCTGGAGATGTGAACTGTGTTTATGAAATGCCAAATCCAGAATCTGACTAATTTCAGTCATTAACAGTTACGGGAAGAAATTGTTAAAATATAGGTTGTTCCTATGGAAAGGAGTGCAGATGCTGTTTAGAGAGTAAGGACTGGAGGAATGGCTGGTGTGGTCACAAATTGTGAAATTCCCCACACTGACGTTTTAAAAACTGCGTTGTGTGAAATTTTCCACAGTAGACTTTTCCTCACCAGGCACAAACCCGAAGTTTTCTCCTCCTACCCTGCATTTTTCGAATCCCCAGTTTTAGCAAGTTCCGAAAATGCAGGGTAAGAAGGAGAAAACTTCCGGTTTGCTTCGGGTTTGTGGCTGGTAAGGAAAAGTCTACTGTGGAAAATTTTACATAACATACAGTTTAAAAACCTCAATGTGAGGAATTTCACTACTGAGAAAATGGTCAAAGGCACCACTTTTCCTATGTTTTTCCATCTTATTAGCATGGTCACCAGGAAGGGCTATAGCTGACTGGGACCTAAAAGGAAAAGGAGGAGGAGGAAAAGGAGAAGGAGAAGAAGAGGAAGAGTTGGTTTTATACCCTGCCCTTCACTACTCAAAGGAGTCTCGGAGCAGCTTACAATCACCAACAGTTACGGGAAGAAATTGATAAAATACAGGTTGTTCCTATGGAAAGGAGTACAGATGCTGTTTAGAGAGTAAGGACTGAAGGAACGGCTGGTGTGGTCACAAATTGTGAAATTCCGGGATAAAGGGAGTGTGAAAAAAATGGAAAGAAAGTATAGCAAAGCCAATTGAGAAAGGACATTGCCGGTTCTTACATAATTCTAGTATTGGAAATGGATGTTCCATGAACATTTATATAAAATCAACCCCTAAATTATGTTGGTGAAAGTTTGAAAGAAAATGTAGGCCAGTCTAATCCTAACAAAATGAATACCCAGTCACTAGGTACCACTTCTTCATGGTGATAGGAAAGGAGGGCACATCATTAAGTGCTCTCCCTGCCTGATGATGATGACAAGTTTAAAAACCTCAATGTGGGGAATTTCACTACTGAGGAAATGGTCAAAGGCACTACTTTTCCTATGTTTTTCCATCTTATTAGCATGGTCACCAGGAAGGGCTATAGCTGACTGGGACCTAAAAGGAAGAGGAGGAGGAGGAAAAGGAGAAGGAGAGGAAGAAGAGTTGGTTTTATACCCTGCCCTTCACTACCCAAAGGAGTCTCGGAGCAGCTTACAATCACCTTCTGTTCCTCTCCCCACAACAGACACACTGAGAGGTAAACTCCCCCTCAGCAGAAAACAAAGTTGTTGTTTTTTAAAACTGTTTTTGAAGAACAAACAACCAAAAATTAAAGTAAAAGAAAGTTTGGAAATAATTCTTAAGAGCTGTGAGGCGAAAGCTAAGAGTGAATCCATTTAGTCAGAGACTCTAAGGGCTTCTTCTTACATCACAGTTCCTTATACAGAAATTAATCCAAACACAAATGAATCAATTTGGTCAGACTTTCTTTAAAAAATCAGAAAAGAAAACTTCTAGTTTACCTGAAATTCCTGCTTAAGAAGAAAGAAGACTATAATGGAGTAGTTTACAGAGCTCAGCAGACAGAGGGACACCGTTTTAGTATTTTAAAAAGAGAAACTCTGGTAAAGTCGAACTAAAACCAACTATGAAAAAGTGTCACTATACCAAAAACAATATAATGGACACTGGTGTTCTTGACCATGTAAGTAAGTGACAGAGAGGAATGCAGCAACAGGAATAATTCATTCATGGTATCCAAAGTCCTCACCTCTCGAATTTCCTTAATTTTTGCTCCTGCTTTGCCAATAAGCGAGCCACACTGGCTGGCTGGGATGACTAGCCTAAGCGTCACAGGTGGTTTGGATATAGTGCTCCCATTGGCAGGGCCTGTCCCCAAGTCCTGAAATAAAGCAGAATTAATGGGGTGAACTTTAAAGAATGGATTCATCACAATCACCTTTCTCCACAATCTTCCTATCACAATTCCCTACAATCCCTTGCAAGTGCATAGAATTCTATGTTGTGCCCCTTTGTTCCACCAGGTGCTCAAAGATAGTTGATTCTCAGTGCCGTGCTGAGTTCCCTTTGCAATGTTCTGGTTCTTCTCTCATAGATCTCTGATATTATTATTCGACTAATCACTACTAGACTAAGAAAAGCAGTTAAGAATATTCAGGCTCAGAACCCATATCACATTGCCAGATATCCAAAAAAAGTTAGGAGTATTAATTGGGTATATGATACAGTACCATCGATTTATTTTGTTTTTATCCAATGGTGGAGAAATGAGAAATTTGTCACAATTGTTGTGTTGCATAGAGGTAGGGTCTGGTGGTTACCTTACCTCTTCTAGCTTGAAGGCGATCATAGAAACAGCTCTAAAAACAGCATCAGTGGATCCTGTAATAGTGGTGATCCGTTCTGGACAGGATCCTTCTGAAATGGTGATCCGGGCAGTACTCTAGGAGCCAAACGCAGGAAGAATAATAATACTAGCTGGAAGATATGCAGCCACTTTCATTACTTGTCATGAGAAACGAAAGAGTTAACGATGCTCACGGTGAATTTATCATCAGAGAGGAAGTCAAGCCTTTACCAATATGAACATAGTAGTTTATGCCTCTTGTAACAATTTGTACTTTCCAATGCTATTTTCTTTTTTTTAATATGCTTACTCCAAATCAGTGCTTAGCTGAAGCTGACAAATGCAGCAGCAGCTAGCCTGCCTCATTTATACTGAAAACACCTGTGCAGAAAATTGCGTTTTGTGCAGACCAAGCTCTGAAAAGTAGTCAATATTCTCTCCTGGGAACCAGCGGGGGATGGGGGGAGTTTATCAGTAGAAAAAAGAAAACCTAGACAACGTTGCTGGTATCACACAGGAAGTGACACCATCATACACACAACTTCTGGGCGATGCTTTAGTATCTGGGCAAAAGCTATGGTAAAACCGGCTTCTACCACAGAGTTTTTGTCCAAATACCAAATAATCACCCGGAAGTAGCTGGCATGATGACATCACTTCCTGTAGCAATGTGGCCTAGGTCTTCTTCTTTCTATTGATAAGTCTCCCCACCAGCCAGCTGATTGGTGGCTGGGGGCATGGCCTGGCAGGGGGGAACCCCCACCTCCACCTGGGGTCTGGCAACCCTAATACTCAGTGAAATGTGAGCACATTCTTCAGTAAGAGATATGGGTCTCATCTTTAAGTTTACTATAAAATAGTAGGGAAGCTAGAAGGATATGTATTCAGTCTTTAAAAATGACATATAAAATTATGGAGAATAATGAGCTAACTTCAAAGAAATGCTGCCCCAGCCTTCTGTCTTGCTAAATTCCCTTATGTAGTCTTCATCATTTTCTCTCTGGATCCTCATTTCCTCAGAATAGCTTTCTGCGTACAAAATGACCAGAATTCCATATAGATCCAGGTGGATGGCTGTGTTGGTCTGAATCAGTAGAACAAAAATTGAGACCAGTGGCACCTTTGAGACCAACAAAGTTTTATTCAAGGTATAAGCTTTTGTGTACACACACACTTCCTCAGATACATTGAAATGGATGTTAACCGTTCATACATGCAGACAGAGGTTGAACAGCAAATTAGCATACAACATAATGTAGATGGTTGCATCTGTTAAAACATCTACATCGGGGTGTCAAACTCATTTGTTACAAGGGCCGGATCTGATGTAAATGGTACTTTGGGGGCCAGGCAATGTGTGTCATAAAATGTAATGCCAGGTAGCAGAGATATAAACTTTATAAAAGATACAAACACAATTAAAATATTTTTACTTAAAATACAAATATGCTTAAAACTTTTGTGATATTTTGTTTATTTAACAGTCTTTGATAACTGACACGTCCCAAACCTTCCCCCCCACACAAAGATACCTGCCTAAAATGGAAAGGTAGGGGAATAGTGGGATTTGGCAATGCAGTCTTTAAGATAAAACTTCACAGCAGAAACTAAAAATATAAAATGCTCTGAGCCCAGGAAAAAAAAATGGGAGGGCATTCCCCCCCCCCCCCCCAGGTCTACTCAGAGTGGCAGTGGCTCTCCAGTGTAATGTCCCCCTTTGGCTGTGGGTTCCCAGGTTAGAGTACTCACTCAGGCACCCATTCTCTAGTCCATGCAGCAGAGACAAGCTGGCTCAAAACATCAACCCCATATTTGCAAGGAGACAACTCCGGCAACCAACAGCTTCAACTATACAAACACTGGGAAGTGAAACTACTTGAGCTCCACTCAATTGAAATACATTGTATACCCTTGACCGAAGAACGGTACACTCCTCCTATCTGGGATGGTCGTCCTCTTCGACCAAGCGTGCAGCTTCGGGAGGGACGCACATGGAGCGGTGAGGGAGGTAGGGGACACCCGCCTAGCCAGCCAGATCATCTGAATCAACCCTAGTGATCAATGGGGTGACAAATGCCGCAGCCAGATCGCCCTCACATCCGAAATACTTGTAGGACAGACAAAGTTGCAAAGAAAATGCAGAATGGTGACATGACAGTCCCTAGGAGTAGCAGAAGTATTCTGGAATTGGAATTCCGTTCCCAGAATTCTGCTGCTACTTCCAGGGGCTGTCATTCCACTCTGTGCCCTGTCATTCCAGTCTCAGAACACAGATTCTATTGCTAGGGACCATCATTCTACTCTGGGGGCTGTCATTCCAGTCCCAGAGCACTGTTTCTGTTGCTGGAAACAGTCCCAGAGTAGTCTATCTGGGTGCATAAACCTTAATGGAAAAATCCATTCTGCATTTTCTTTGTAAGCCTAGAAGAGCTTCCTGCTGATGCTGAAGCAGGCAAAGACAAGACTGAGGAAGCTGGGAACTTTGGCAACCTCAAGCTTCAAAGGGGGAGGACAGGAGGGGGAGGAGTTGGGAAGAAAAGAGCCATGGGCCTGATTAAAGCCATGGGTGGGACTCTTCTGGCCTCCGAGCCTTAGGTTTGACAACCCTGATCTACATTATGTTATATGCTAATTTGCTGTTCAGCTTCTGTCTATATGTTCTGAACTGTTCTCAGAATTCCATATGTATTTCATATAATACCACATCTGAAAACCATCCAGCTGGCAACTGTAAAACTTCCCATCCCAACCACATCTTGATTTGAGAGTGTGGCTACTTTTTATCCCATTGCACTTACTTGTTCTCGTATCTTCTTCACTGTCTCTCCTTTCTGCAGGACAAGAAAGTTGATTAGACTCACACAGCTTAATGGATATAATAAAGAAACCAGCCATGACACACAGCAACATCAGCCTTACCTTGCCTATGATACTGCCTACTTCCTGCAAAACACAGACAAGAAAATCTGAATTAGGGAAGATATATGCACCAGCAACTGTTATGTAGTGCCTAAAAATGGGTAACTCGAACTCTTCTTCCCCCCCCCAAATGAAAGCATGGATCATTCTCGAATGAGAAGGTTGACATTTTTCCTGGCCATTGACTCTTTCACTGCCTTCATTACCAGAGCCTTTTCCTATTTTTTTAAAAAAAGAAATCATCCTGGCAAAATGGCACCTTTTAACAGAAACATCTTGAAAAATTCACCAGCATATTTATTTTCACAAGAGTTAAAATGTCTGCTTCATAATCCCATTGCAAGGCTCCCCATATACTGCAATGTAGTATTTTTGTGGGAGGATGTTTATGTGTGGAAGGAGTGTTTAAAGCTCCTCTTCTGATTGGCCAGCAAGACAGTGGCTTATTAGGTTTTGGAACCTGGCGTTGGGTAGCGATGAATGCTTTTAACCTGGGCATTACAGTCCCAGTGCAGTGGAAGTTTCCTCCTGACTGCAATGGGATCAGGATTACAGCCTAATATGGCAATCCCAGTGTATTTACCTTTCCATGCATAAGCATTCGGAGAGTGAGAGTGATACTGAGTTCTGTTTCATCTAGTCCATTATCTGAGCCACTCATCCTGTCTGGTGATGCCATGGTGAAGGAATGCATGGACCTGCTTCTAAGGAAACCAACACCCTGTGGCGTTTAGGAGGTGTTGAAACCGCCAAATCTGTAGACAGAGAGAGAGAGAGAGAGAAATAAAAGAGTTCATAGGAAACATCACTTGTAATCCATCCCAACTAGCTAGCAGGACAGCAGATTAGTGGTTGAGTGTCACTCAACATCCTTTGATATTTCCTGTTCCAGAGTGCTCCAGAGAGTAATGATTGTGATGATGAAAGGAAGTATCACATGAATGAACACAACAGCTTTTCCAGATGTAACTCTCAAAAAAGCCCTTCTTAGAAACTGCGAAACGCAAAGGGCAAGAGAGGTAAGGCTTAAATCTATTTTTACCAGTCATATCCAGATGTGAATGATATTATTGAAGCCTGGTGTTTTGTTATAAGGAGTTCATAATATATTCCAAATTTTTAATTTGGCCATCCAATTGGTCTTTGTGGCTTATCGTGATTTTTCACTGTGTGAGTAGGATGTGACTCTACTGATTATGTTTATAGTGTAAGCCACTGATGAAGGCTGTTTTGTTTTCCCTTGTTGCCTGTGGATTTTTGTATTGTTTGAACTGTTAGTATATTAAACTATCGCCCCGGTCACAGGGAAGGTTTTGGCCCGGGAGAGGGACGGATCGGGGGCGCAGCAAACGGGCGCGATCTCACCGCAACATCTGGGAAGCGGCGCGCACCCGTCCCCGATCCGGCTCTTCAGGCCGAAAACCCGCTGTAAAAAAAACCCCACCTACAGAGCAGGACTTACCGGACACACCGCATCAAGTGCGGCCGTCAGATCGCCCGTCTTCCGGAGCAATCGAGGCTCCCGGCCGAACTGCGCATGCGCACACATGCGCAGCCAGCGGCCTCGCGCTCCCTTCCGTGGCTTTCTCTCCGGCATCTGATCGTGCCGGGGAGCAACTGCGTGGTGGCTCACAGGATCTGTGTGATCCCGCCGCCGCGTGTCTCTTTTGGTGTGGCTTTCAAAAGCCGCACTTTGCCCGCCTCAATTCCCCCCTGTGTGGCAGGGGCCTGTGTAGTGCTTTGTGCACACCACTGAATTGGCCATTATTTGCATACTGCAATATATATTGCCCTTTACTGGCTAACAGGACTGAAGGGAAAAGCAGGGTAGATATGATTCATTTCACAGCAGAAGAGCCATCCAGCTCTTTAGATATACAGATAACTTACTACCCCCCCCCAAAAAAAAAGAACAGCAAAAGTCATACCTCAGCTACAGGGGCTTGGAAGACTAAATGGCCAAGTGTCACTTTCTCTTGAGAACAGAAAAGGCACTAGATTTACTGTTATGGGGTGACCCTGGAAATGGTCACCAAGAGCATGTGTTGCTAAGCAAAAGGAATGAAGTCCCATCCCTGAAACTGAGGTATGAACTCATTCTGAATTTTTGTGGCTCCAAGAGAAAGAACCTAGCCTTACTTTAACATCTTACAAATGCAGAGAACAGGGTCAGAGTATTTGTGGTTATATCAGTTTTCATTTGTATCCTTGCTCAGATGTGCTATGTAAATAGACATGCATGCGCTTCTATTACTTTATTAAACCGTATTACAAATTGGAGGCTGCCAGTCTGATCTCTGTAATCATTCCACTCCCAATTCGGACATGCTTAACAGGGAGAAACAAAGGGGAGGGGCAGAGTGTGATTCCCTCCATTCCTGGAGTGCATATCAGCATCTGTGAGTCCCCACAGCAGCTAGAGAGAGAGAGAGGAGTGGAAAATGCAATCAAAGAGCGGAGCCTGGAAATGGCAAAGCAGTAAAGAGAGCTAAAGCGCTAACCCTGTGGTGGGAGATGCTCTTCTAGACTAGAAGGTGGTAGTGTCCAGTAGAAAATGGGAAAAGGAAATAGACAAAGAGAAGGAGATGGGCTGGAGAGAGAGAGAGAGAGAGAGAGAGAGAGAGAGAGCGAGAGAGAGAGAGAGAGAGTGTGTGAGTGGAAATGGGTTAGAGAGGACCCAAGAAGGCTGAGCAGCTTATTTTCTCCCATAAGGGAGCTTGCAAGAACTGCTATGCCACACAGGGCATTCCAAAGTCAAGGGGAAGCTTCTGAGAAAGCCCTGATCCTCACAGAGAAGAGTTTACCCACAATGTTGGTATCTTGAGCAGGGCCTCTCTTCAGTTTAGTGGAGATCCATATTCAGTGACCTTTTTTGTATATTTGATTGCATACTTTATTGTTTACTGATTGTTAGTGAAGAAGTTTCTTCACTGAGACCTGATGGCTTGAAGGCCTTTCTGTTCAGAGAAGCATACCTACTAGCAGGGGTAATTTCCTGCGGGAGCGCACAGGAGCAGAGCTCCGGCAGTAACGAGCCCAGGGGGCAGGCACATGCAACAAGCCCCGCCCCCTGCTCCCAGCAGCCCTCAGTCGTGCCATGAGGAGCAAGAAGCAGCCAGGTAAGTTGCAGAGCCTCCCCCGGCCCACCTTCAGGTACAAGCTCTCCCTCCTCTGTGAGGGACAGATCTGCACGTCCCCCCCCCCGCAATAGCTAGCAATCCAAAACAGTCCAGTGGAGCCTGAGTGGTGGGTGTTGCCTTCTGACACACTTCCGGTGATGTCAGGGGGTGTGGCATATGCAAATAAGTTATGCTAATAAGTTATGCTAATGAGCTCCTGCACCTCTTTTTCTATGAAATGACCCCTGCCTACCAGCCAATGTGGGGTTGAGATTAATCTTCTGCAGTTTGTGTGTGTTGCTTTCTGAGTATATCAGCAAGAAAACAATGTGAATGTTTTCAGTGCAGCCAGGTCTGAGATTTACATACAGTGACTTTTACCACCTGGGTTATCTGCTCTGGATTCAATGCTGCTGGGAAGTAGATCCCCCCCCCGCTCCCCACAGCAGCATGGTACATTAATGCACCTCCCGGGTATCCCCTAGATTTTCTCTGATATCAATATAGTGATATAATGGTACATTGCTATCTGCATTGCCAGTAAAATAAAATACATGAAAAAGCCCCCTGGTGGTGGAAGGTGGGGAATGGCTACCATGGGGACTGGGGAAGGGAAGATGTGAAAAAAACTCACCATGTGGAAGTCTTGCTGCTGCACTGTAACGACAGCTGCAGCAACAATGGACTTCCAAAGGAAAATGTTGCCCATGGAACAGCCCAGCCAGGCCTGGATTTATGTACACTATAGTTTAGGGCCTTATATTATGAGGGGATTCTGAATACAATTTTTAAAAACTAAATTACCTTCCCCCCCGCCTTTTGATATTGCCACGGTGTCTCCTAAACTTAACAGTCTAGGGCCTCAGCATGTCTTCATCCATCCCTGTAGTTTTTATGGGGTTTCAAGTGGATGGCACTTGGTTCAGAGGAGTTGCTTTCCACAGCAGCACTACCTAGTTGATCCTCCATTCTTAATGCATAAATAGACAGGTATTGTAAGGTCACAGGTCTCCATGTTCTCTCATTCAAAGAAAATGAAATCCCGCACCTGGAAATTCTCATCTCTCAGGAAAGGAGGTGGTGCGTAACACTATTATTTGAGACCCCTTCCTTTAAAGTATTCCATAACATGAGGACAAAGCAGAACATTGCTGAAGGGCAATGGATTTAGAACTAGGAAATCCTTCTTTTGCCAGCCTGTGTACTCTACCAGAACAACAAAAGCACTGCAGGTGTTAAAAATAGGACTGGGTATAAGATAAAAGACTATTTTGAAACTCCAGGCCTTCCAAACAATCTGGCTTGATGTTACAGGGTAGCCCAAAAGACCATATTTATAGTCTTTCAAAGAAACTATTTTCAGGAGAACTAATCCCCTCCGGAACCAGTCTTCATTCAGCATATCCCTAATCTGTACAATAAGTGCTAGCAAGCTGAACAGGGTAAGCTGCCATCTCTTTCAAGGGAATGGCAGACATCATAGCAGTTGCTGAACTAACTTAAAAAGTCCTTATGCTGGTGGATCATGATTGTTTTACAACCCAGTCCTTCAATCAGTTAGTCCAGAGTTGTATGATTTAAACTAATGAGAATTTAAAAAAAATTGATTGACTGACCAAATGCAAATGCAACAGGCTAACTGAGGCCATGGTCAGACGTGCCATTTGGTGCGGGGGAAATGAGCCTATTTTCCCTGGTGGAAATTAACATGGCATTGCACGATCACATATCCTTTGTAGCTGCGGTCTCAGCCCGTCACTACCCGATCAGACCACACGTTTTGCCTTTTGTTTCCCATGCGCATAAACAAGGAATCACACCTCCACACTGAGGGTTCCCCATGGAGCATGCAGTTATATGCATACTGCTAAGCGAGGGGGAATAACTGGGGCATAAGAGCGTGCTTGAGCAATCAGATGGGAAAGTCCGCCGTAGCCCGTCAGCAAGCATTAGGACCAGACTTTCCGCAATGTCTTTTAACTCCACTTCCGCCACATGGCGGGCCAGCGGGGGGTTCTGACAGCTGCGGGACCTTTCCCAGATGTTGCTGTCTGATCATGCCATTTAGAGCCATCAGGCATTCGCAGCTGAGTCGGATTTAAAGGCACATCTGACCATGGCCTGAGTGATTCTATACTCCACCTATCAGTCTAAGGCTGCATGTGACCACAACTCTTGTCACATTTCTTTTAACTTTTCACTTTTCCTTAAGACTTTACATGGCCATTTCAGGTCAACGAACCATAGCTCCCTGAGAAGGGCACCAATATAAGTTTTTTTCAGACCTTCAGGGCATGTAAAATGAAAGTAGACCAGGGATGGGAGAGCTGCATTAGGTTCTGCTCATGATGTACTGCGCTCACTCAAAGGCCCATTTAGATTCTAAGTGAATACAAGTATGTGACTCTCTCCATACAACTCAGAACCTGAAAAATGAGGGTTCCCGAACACATGGAAGGAGCCGCAGAATCTATGCAGAACCTTCAGATGAACTTGGGGTGGAAACCAATGCTTCTACCTCCATTCCCAACATTATCATAGTACACAAAATGGGAATCTGAAACAGTGACGATTGAAATCAACAAAACAGATTTGGGGGAGACAGGTGTGCGACCTAATAGTTACACATAGGGATT